GTCAATAAAATGGCGGCTTGTTTGTTGTTTGCTTATCAGGCGGCAATGAAAAGTTGCCAGATCATAAACGTAGGCTGCCTTTTCTTTGCTTCATAAAAGGCATTTTTGTCTTGGCCATAATAAAATCAGTCTCATTACTTAATTGTCGGACCTTGTATTCCAGCTTTCACTTTATGCCGTTACCAGGGTTCATTTCTGACTCCCTGTGTGTCAGTTAACTATTAACCCTGCCTCTTCTTGTATTGTAAGTGACCTTTCGAAAACAGCGTATTTCAAATGTAGTTATTTTTTTCTAGTGCCCTATTCGTTGTCCATATTTCGCATCGATAACATAAAGTAGGGATAAAGACGTTATTTTTCATTTGCTGATTTGCTGGAAGGAAAACATTTGGGTGTCTAGGCAGTGGGTGCTATGGTTGATAACAGCATTTGTCTTCTGTACTCTGGCTTCTATCTCTCTATCGAGTCTGCCGTCCTCCGTAAATATGCTGCCTAGATATTTGAATTCTCATACTTGTTTCATTGTAGTACCGTTAACATGAACGTTCATAGTATCATGTTTTCTGCCTATCCTCAATCCCTCAGTTTTCGCGGTGTTTATGCTCACGTCCTACTTTGTGAACGTTTGATGTAAAACGTTAGTCTAGTGTTGTACATTCTCTTCTTGGTGGTGTGTGACAATAATCGTCATTGCCTCTGTTGTTCGAAGTGTGCACTGACTATCTTGATAACGAGCCATGATGTTTCCCAACAGCTAATCTTGAATACCATCATCTTTGCAATGTTGCTCCATCTAGGTTTTATCTCGGCGCATCAAAATCCTGTTCTTTCTTTCCTTATTGTAAACAGTTAGAATGAACTCGTCAGATGACAAACACGGCAATTATTAATTTTATTAGCCAATCCAACACCTGTACTGTCCGGTCATGTTCTGTGTTCTCTTCAATAAAACAAGAGCCCAATTATAAATACTGCTTCAAAAACATCACAACTCGAATCTAGATGCAATTACTTTTCAGACTGTACGTTCATGCCAGTCGCTTGCACTTGCATTTCCACACAGCAGAATCTAAGAGAATTCTGCAGTCGTTTGAGATTCGCTCACATCCACACCGCTATGTCTCTCAGCGTCCAGACAACTACTACATGAACTCAGGCAATCTGCATTCTTCACAGTCTTTCTCTTCATCCGACCGCTCACATACGTGTCCAAACATCAACTGATTTCCTATCCTCTCTAGCTTTCAAACGTTCGTTCCAATCTCATGCTTTCCGCTTATCACAGTTCAATAAAACACGAAATACACTAAACACATAATTTACCGGTGTCCCTTATTTCCTATGGTCTTTTGACCTTCTACGTCATCAATGAGACGCTAGCCGGTTTTCCATGGGATTCTCATCAGTACATACTCCGCTTCTCATTGAGGGAAAAAAAAAACTGTTTTCCCCATTGCTACCTCTTTATGGTTGAGGAATCCTTTAATATAATGACGTGGACCGTTCTCACTTTCAAACTTGGTTGTTGGTTAGGGCTTACCTTTACTTAGGTTGACCCTGAAATCCACTTGTAACATCACCAGTTGTTGCACCCAGTGAGCACCATATAGCCTAATAGGATTACCACCCGAAGACATTCCTAACTAGCGCAGAAGACCATATCGGCTCTGCACATTTTCCATCCCACCCCAAAGTCTGCCTAACGACAGAACAACGCCCTAAGACACCCTTCATTTGGTGCGGAAGTCCATTACGGCTGTAGAATAATAATCAAAAACATGCAAAAGTCACACCTTCACTATATGCACTCACTGGACCAGTCCAAAATAGCGTCCTTCTCAGTTGAATGTTCATGTTTCCCCCTCTCAGGGAGCTTGATCCGATTCTCATATTTTTGCTGGTTTCATCTACCCATCATTCTTTCTTATAATTTACCTTTTCCCGGTCTATTCAAGTATCCCAATTATTCATTTGAAATTATTTATTTGTACATAATAATAATTAAAAGTCCATTCATTTTGTTGTTATCTATCATTAATGTCATTGTCACGTCCGTTTTGTTAGATACAAAGTGATATGAACAATAAAAGCAATCATACATCTTTTTCATTAACACATTTCAAACATTTAATTATTTAATTTAACATTTTCATCAATATACAATTTACTTTTCCAGTGCCAAATTTGTTACAATAAAAATACTAATGAAACTTCAGTTGTCTGTTTTTTGTTTAAAAATAATTTGTTTACAATCTAGACATAACATCCGGTAGGTGATTTTCTTGCTTGCTTGCTTAGTAGCTCCTCTTCTACCTTGGGGTGTAAAGGTTTGCGAGATAAATCGCTAGACGTCTCTATCAGCAGTTTTCTTTCTGGCTTTGTTCCATTCCAGTCCTCTGTCAGTCAGGGACTGTCGGATGTTGTCTTCCCAGCGCACCCTAGGTCGTCCTGGAGGTCTGGTTCCCTGGTTCTTAGCCTCCCATGCCTGCCATGGTGGCCGATTTTCTCCCATTCTGCATTCATGTCCAAACCATCGTAACTGTGACTGATCCACTCGGGTTTGTAAGGACTGGGTATCAAGATCTTGATGTATTGTCTAATTGCGGACTTAGTCCCTTCTTGACACTTGGACCACCTTTCTCAGATATCTCATTTCCGAGGCCTGCAGCTGGCTTCTGTGAGCTGTCATTGCCCATGACTCACACCCATAGGTCAGGACTGGTACATAGGTAGAGCGGTAAACAGCCATTTTCGTCCTCTTGACAGTTTCTCTTTTGCTAAGAAACCCTCGGTTTATGGCCTGGAAGAGTCTCCCAGCAGCTGCTTTTCGTGTAGCCAGCTCAGTCTTAATGCCTCCATTTCGGTCTAATACAACTCCAAGGTATTTGAACTGGTTAACCTGCTCCAATGCATACTGTACCATCATGATCTGGTGTTTCTTGTCCTCTCTTGAGATCACCATGGTTTTAGTTTTAGAGATACCCATGGTCACGCCTCTCTTTTCAAGCTCTTCCTTCCAGACAAGTCAGTTGGGCTGAAGCTGTGCCTATGAAGGTGATGTTCAATGCCTATAATCTGCTCACTTGTAAAGGCTGACCACTAGAACTAATGCTTTCTTTTCAAGCTCTTCCTTCCAGACAAGTCAGTTGGACTGAAGGTGTGCCTATGAAGGTGATGTTCAATGCCTTTAATGTGCTCACTTGTAAAGGCTGACCACTAGAGCTCAGGCTTTCTTTTCAAATATGTTATATTTTTGCTGAGTGAAATTAAGTTTCTATGAACTGTATTGAACTGGAAGCTAGGTCTCAGAATATATTTGAGCGAACATGGCGGCTATTGTGTGACCACTAGCTCTACACAGGTCAGACTGTCTTGAGATTGCTGGAGTAGCAAACGATGACTTCATTGTTTGTCACATTAAATCACGGCTATTTGTTCATCCTAACCCGCGTAGCGGCGTGTGAGAGACTCTCGGCGGTGTCGGTAGTCGCCGGAAGTCCGAAATTCACATGTGACTGAGACCCTGTTAGGGTAAATTTTTGGCCTCGATAATTTGGGACCGTTATTCGGAGGTCAGCCATTGATTGTTAAATCATAATGTCAGTTACTGTCCACTTATGCTTGATTGTTGTAGCCTAGTAAACTAATGATAGACTAACTGTTTGATTGTTATAGCCTAGTAAACTAATGATAGACTAACTGTTTGATTGTCTAGTGTCGACGATTGTCTACTTATGCTTGATTGTCTAGTGTCGACCATTGTCTACTTATGCTTGATTGTCTAGTGTCGACGATTGTCTACTTATGCTTGATTGTCTAGTGTCGACCATTGTCTACTTATGCTTGATTGTTGTAGCATAGTGCCAATGATTGTCCACCTTTGATATTTTTCTGGAATCCAGGGCGGACGATTATCCCGTTATGATTGATTGTTCAGAGCCCGGTGCTAATGATTGAAGGCTAAGATTGATTACCCGGGGCCTTACGTCAAACACACACACGAACACGACACACGCACGCACACACATCATGAATGAGAAGACAACGACTTTCAGAAAACGTGTAGTTTAGTGAACGGAAATTGTTGTAAACTATCAAACGCTGAACATTTAGACACGTTCCGTCATGGCTGAACGAGCTGCGGTATCCAGTTCCTCTCGCCATATATCTGACTGTAAATGTATGCATGGTTTGGAAACTCAAAACCAGCCTAGTTGGGTAGGAAGGGGGTGTCAATGCACACAAACTAGGGGCAGAGAGGGAGGGGGGGGGGATACCAAGTTACACACAGCTAGGGACAGGAGCGGGGGGGGGGGGGGTGTCAGGTTACACATAGCTAGGGACAGGGGTGCCAAGCCAGACAAACCGGGGGGGGGGGGGGGGGGAGTTATGCAAAAAGCTAGCTGGAAGATGCCTTTGTATACACATGTTCAGTGAGATGTGTCAATGGCCGTTAGTCGCCGCAGAAGTCCTCTAGTAATTCCCACAGCAGGACAAGACACAGCGGCAACTTCGCCAACATTACATGTCACGCCCTCCCCTCCGTGGCAGCAAGTAAATCTGTGACATGACGGTCCGCCTGATGAGACAAGGATGAATGAAGGGCAAACAAATTATAAAACAAACGCGGGTTCATGGTATCTCTGCCATAGTTCAGTCGTGCTCCCTGGTCGATGGCGTGCCGACGGTCGGGTCCTGTCTTCTAGTCTAGCTTGTGTCCTGCAGTCAGAGGTTACAGCAGGCATTTCATAGTTACATTGACCAGAAATCGGCTATTTCTTCTATCTTTTGTTGATAGAGGACTTGGAAGTTTTTTAAGATTTACAGGCAGCAATCAAGCACACACAGAGAGCGAGAGAGATCGACAGACAGACACAGAGACCGACAGACAGACAAGAGGGCGGGAGGAGATTTCGCAAGACCCGGCTCTTAATTTCATCGGTGACGTCACGTGACTCTCATTTAACAGGCAGCGCCCTCTACAGCCAGGCACAGTCGTCATGGCGTCCAGCAAAGTGAACAAGCAGGTAAGGAGCGTTTGTCGAGAGTTGTAATTCTTTCTGTGTGCTCGTATCAGTCCTTGATTGATTCTTTGCTTATTGATATCAGTTTATTTGTTGAATTAATTAAATGTGATTGAATCGCGCGGTTTGTTGCTGTCAGTACCAGATATAGTCAGACAGTAGCCGGCCTGTCCCGGAACAATTATCTTATCGCCATTTCCTTATCTGTCAGCGTTGGCCCCGAACCGTTATCTCTAGATACCAGCCGTCAATGGGGAACGACGTTTTCGCAGACTAGTAGATGTTGTTTTGTGCAGGAGATTGTCATAGAACCGAAGAAAATGTGCCCGAGCTGTCGCAGCAGTCCATCAGTGTAGGCAAGCTGAAGAATGCCGAGCTGGGCCAGCTAGAGGACATTTAATTAATTTAGAGGTTATCACCAGAACGTGCTCGAAGCTGCCCAGGTCGATCCGACGTCTGTCAGCGCTGAATCTCTTCATACCAGTGTGGTTAGTATTTGTCAGCATGTGTCTGCAACATTCGCATTCTGTCTGACAGCATTTTTTTTATTTCTGTAAACGTTAGACTTGGTTAAATCCAGAAATATTCACTTCTTTCTGCTTGGGAGTCACCAGACATGAGACTAGATATGGCCACCCGGCCTGTCAAGTCATTCTGGACCCATGACAGTTGCTTCTCGCCCTGGACCGCCAGTCAGTCATGCTGGACGATTTCTGGCCAATATTGGCTAGTTTCTACAACCAGACTTTTGCTCTAGTTCATTTTGCAAGCAACAACTTATTAGAGAAAATGTATAACTGCTGCCATAGAAGGGCACAACTGTCAGAAACATGTCAGAAGTGGACATCATGTGTGTGTGTGGCTGTCAACACAAACAGGCAGGGTGGACACCAGGTGGTGGATGACAATCCATAGATTTTTGGCTTCAGAAGACAGAATCCATGGAGTAGGTGGATAAGACAGAATCCATGGAGTAGGTGAATATGCCATAATCCATGGAGTAGGTGGATATGACATAATCCATGGACTAGGTGGATAAGATAAAATCCATGGACTAGGTGGATAAGACATAATCCATGGACTAGGTGGATAAGACAATCCACGGAGTAGGTGGATAAGACAAAATCCATGGAGTAGGTGGATAAGACAGAATCCATGGAGTAGGTGGATAAGACAGAATCCATGGAGTAGGTGGATATGACATAATCCATGGACTAGATGGATAAGATAAAATCCATGGACTAGGTGGATAAGACAATCCATGGAGTAGGTGGATAAGACAATCCATGGAGTAGGTGGATATGACATAATCCATGGATTAGATGGATAAGACAAAATCCATGGATTAGATGGATAAGACAAAATCCATGGATTAGATGGATAAGACAAAATCCATGGACTAGGTAGATGAGACAAAATCCATGGACTAGGTAGATGAGACATAATTTATGGACTAGGTGGATAAGACATAATTCATAGAGTAGGTGGATAAGACATAATCCGTGGACTAGGTGGATAAGATACAATCCATGGAGTAGGTGGATTAGACAGAATTAATAGAGTCAGTGGATAAGAGAGAATCCATGGACTAGTTGGATAAGACAGAATCTGTGTCCTAGGTGAATAAGACAGAATCCATGGAGTAGGTAGATAAGACAATCCATAGACTAGGTAGACAAGTTAATCCATGGACTATGTAGGTAAACAGAATCCTTGGCCTAAGTGGATAAACAGAATCCTTTGTCTAGGTGGATAAACAGAATAATTGGTCTAGATAAGGCAGAGTCCATGGACTGGATAAATAAGACAGAATCCCTGACCTAGGTTGATAAATTAAACATAATCCTTGGACTAGGTTGATAAATTAAACAGAATCCCTTGACTAAGTAGATCAGTTAGACAGAATCCCTGGACTAGGTTGATAGAGACAGAATCCCTGGACTAGGTTAATAAATTAGACAGAATCCCTGGACTAGGTTGATAAATACGACAGAATCCCTTGACTAGGTTGATAAATTTGACAGAATCCCTGGACTAAGTTGATAAATATGACAGAATCCCTTGACTAGGTAGATCAGTTGGACAGAATCCCTTGACTAGGTAGATCAGTTGGACAGAATCTCTGGACTAGGTAGATAAATAAGACAGAATCCCTTGACTAGGTTGATAAATAAGACAGAATCCCTGGGCTAGGTAGATCAGTTGGACAGAATCTCTGAACTAGGTATAGGTAGATCAGTTGGACAGAATCTCTGGACTAGGTAGATCAGTTGGACAGAATCCCTGGACTAGGTTGATAAATAAGACAGAATCCCTGGACTAGGTTGATAAATAAGACAGAATCCCTGGACTAGGTAGATCAGTTGGACAGAATCTCTGAACTAGTTGATAAATAAGACAGAATCCCTGGACTAGGTTGATAAATAAGACAGAATCCCTGGACTAGGTAGATCAGTTGGACAGAATCTCTGAACTAGTTGATAAATAAGACAGAATCCCTGGACTAGGTTGATAAATAAGACAGAATCTCTGAACTAGTTGATAAATAAGACAGAATCCCTGGACTAGGTTGATAAATAAGACAGCATCCTTTTGCTAGGTTGATAAATTAGACAGAATCCCTGGACTAGGTTGATTAATAAGATAGAATCCCTGGACTAGATTGATAAATTAGACTGAATCTCTGGACTAGGTTGATAAATAAGATAGAATCCCTGGACTAGGTTGATAAATAAGACAGAATCCCTGGGCTAGGTTGATAAATTAGATAGAATCACTGGACTAGGTAGATCAGTTGGACAGAATCCCTGGGCTAGGTTGATCAGTTGGACAGAATCCCTGGACTAGGTAGATCAGTTAGACAGAATTCTAGGACTAGGTTGATAAGACAGTCCATGTACTAGACAAGTTTTGCAGTGACTGTTTACACCGGCGGTTCTCAAACTAGGTGAAGCGTGGGCCAATGATGTCGCTGCAGTCCTCAAGAATTTGTCCAAATCTGCTTGAGATCGGGTAGGCCAGCAGTATAAAACAGAAATACTATAAAATACAGGAAGACAGAAAGAGTTGTGGATGCAGGTTTATTCAGAACACTGCTATTGGCAAGGCTGCAGTGCATTCTCAATGTACACTAACAGATACAGGAGCAACCTTCAAGTGATTTAAGGCTACAGTTAACTAAACTTCCCATAAACATAATGGAAATTGAAAATTCATCCAGTTTAATTCATTGCATTAAAGACAACTGAACATTGAATTTGCAGTTTTTCTTCTTTTCCTAAGTATTCAAACTGCTTTAAGGGTAGGTGCTATGCCGCAAATCTGTTTTTGCCTAGCAAGGTTGCCACGGCGAAAAGAATTGAAGAAATGTTGGTTTACACCAAAGACTATATGTCTACATGCCTTGTCTGTCTTTCACAGGGAGGCCCACGGGCTGAAAGCTACCGATATGCCGTCACTCCTTCCGGCGATGAGAAGAAGAAGAAAAAGAAGAAGAAGGAAGATGACTTGGATGAACTTAAACAAGAACTGGACATGGATGAGCACAAAATTCCTATTGAAGAGTTGTATGAGAGACTCGGAGCTGATCCAGTTAACGTGAGTACACACAGTGGTCTGCAATCATTTTCAGGTCATGTCTCCCATGAGTAGACCGTCACACCCTCTTGAGTATATGGCAAGTCCCTCACGCCCTCCTTGGGTGTAGGCAAGACCCTCACTCCCTCCTTGGGTATATGGCAATACCCTCACGCCCTCCTTGGGTACATGGCAAGACCCTCACTCCCTCCTTGGGTGTAGGCAAGACCCTCACTCCCTCCTTGGGTATATGGCAAGACCCTCACTCCCTCCTTGGGTATATGGCAATACCCTCACTCCCTCCTTGGGTATATGGCAAGTCCCTCACGCCCTCCTTGGGTGTAGGAAAGACCCTCACTCCCTCCTTGGGTATATGGCAAGTCCCTCACTCCCTCCTTGGGTATATGGTAAGACCCTCACTCCCTCCTTGGGTATATGGCAAGACCCTCACGCCCTCCTTGGGTATATGGCAAGACCCTCACGCCCTCCTTGGGTATATGGCAAGACCCTCACGCCCTCCTTGGGTATATGGCAAGACCCTCACGCCCTCCTTGGGTATATGGCAAAACCCTCATGCTCCCATTGAGTATATAGCAAAACCCTCACCTAGAGCCACTAACATAATGAAATGTGATTACAAAGATGACAGTAGATTCCATAAAAGAAGTGAAACACACCATGGATATACTTTTTTTGTGTCAGAATGTGTTCTGTCTGAATCTTCTTTTTCTTCTTCTTCAGCATTCCCAGCCCTTGAGGTTCGTTGCTGCAGATATCACTCACCTTCATTCATCTCTTTAGTTGGCCTTCTCTTTCCAGTTCGTGACAGTGGGTGTTTGCAGGTCTGTCTGGACATTCTCTCTCCATCATCTTCTTGGTCTGCCTCATGTTCTACGACCATTTATCTCCTTTGTGTATACAGTTTTCACATCTGTCATCTGACATTCTCTCAATATGCCCCAACCGTCTTAGTCTATAAATGCCTGTGTTATTATATTATTTAAATATTTATAGTAAATATACAAAGTGCTTATGAAAACAAACAAAAAACACCTGGCTGTTTTGTTTTGTAGTTTTAACATTTTATTTTATTTTGATAATGAAACTGAAAAAATAACAAATACAGATGCACCCAGTTTCAAAATGGCCATAACTGACTTATTCTCTGCTGTCAATTATTAAATAACTTGTACAATTAAATAGTTACCTACACTAGAGACTGTACGTGAGCCATGTGTGTACACTTGTATCCAAATACTTTGAATGTTCATTAGCAACAGACACAGTGTTTGTAGTCATTTAGAGCCGTGTTTGTGCTGTCAGTGACTGGTGTCTGTAGATTCTCTTCTCCAATAATCTGTCATGTCTGCTGACCTTGACATGTTAGTTGACTGCCATCGGATGTTTACCATTGCTGTCACTTCTGACAGGGACATACTGTGGAACGAGCCAAGGAGATCCTGCTCCGTGATGGTCCAAACGCACTGACCCCACCCAAGACAACACCAGAGTGGATCAAGTTTTGTAAAGTGCTGTTCACTGGTTTCTCCCTGCTGCTGTGGATTGGTGCCATTCTGTGTTACATTGCCTATGGTATCCAAGCCAGTCAGATGGAGGCGCCACCTGGGGACAATGTAAGTGACATGTCTTTCATGTGTATAACTCACAGATGTTAGATACTAAATGGACTAATTATGATAGCCATGTCTTTGCTTACACATGTTGGATTCATGTACTAGATATGATAGCCATGTCTGTGCTGACATATGTTAGATACATATACTAGATATGATAGCCATGTCTGTGCTCACATATGTTAGATACATATACTAGATATGATAGCCATGTCTGTGCTCACATATGTTAGATACATATACTAGATATGATAGCCATGTCTGTGCTCACATATGTTAGATACTCATGTAAACTAGTTATGATACCCATGTCTGTGCTAACATATGTTAGATACGTATACTAGATGAGTTGAGTCAAGAATTCACATCACAGCACTCAGGGCATTCCTGTATGTGCTCTGTCCCCATCCTACATATATATACTAGATATATGAAGAGTTGTATGAGAGACAGGGAGCTGATCCAGTCAACATGAGTTCACCCTTTAGGGCATTGGTCTGTGAGAGACTGGGAGCTGATCCAGTCAACATGAGTACACCCTCTAAGGCAGTGGGCTGCAATCATTTGCAATTCGCATCCCCCATGAGTAGACCCTCACACCCCCAACCCCTCTTGAGCATGTTGCAAGACGCTCACACCCTCTTTGAGTATATGGTGGGACCCTTACGCCCTCCTTGAGTATATGACTAGAACGGGGCCCCACCTGGGGATATCTCTGTTCTCTGTTTATGTTTGATGGCCCCCTCCCACATATGGGTTCTGGGGCCCCATTGATATCTCCTGAACGAGCGTGTGTACAAGACAGCTAATTAGTGGTCTCCCTCCAAGCCCTACATCTGCCTTAGAGGTGAGGAACCAACAGTCTGCATACAAAATAAGCCAGATCTATGAAATGGATGTGCAATCAAAACAGTTCTGGAATAAAGGACCACAGTTAATGAACCACAACTGAAAGAACTGCTCCAACAAGGCAACACCGACAACCATGCAAGAAACCAAGCAACCAAGAAGGGATGAGGATTAAAGCATACAAGCTAAGAGAGCCAGATATTAAGGATAGATACCAGGAGCTAATAGTGAAAGCAATAGGAACTGAAGAAGAATCATCAGAGGACACTGAAACCCTCTGGTGCAGATTCAAGAATATCCTCACAGCAGCTGCAGTAGAAGCATGTGGTGAAGTCCCAAGTGGAAGGCGGGGACACAGGACACATTGGTGGACAGAAGAAGTCAAATTGAAAATAGGAGAAAAGAAAAGGGCATGGAAGAAATACCTGGCAGCCAGGAACACAGCTGAAGAAATAAAGAAAAATATAAACAATATGTGGCACTCAGAACAGAGACCAAAAATATTGTGCTTAAAGCAAAACAGAAATCATGGGAAGAGTTTGGAGAAAAGTTGGAAAAGAATGCAAGAGAAAACCAAAAACTGTTCTACAAGACCCTTAAGAACATGAGGAAGGAGAAAGAGTGTCCACTTAAATTCATAAAAGACAAGGAAGGGGCTCTGCTTACTTCTACAAATGATATGGGCAGATGGAAAGAATACTTCTCAGAGCTCCTCGGCGTTGAGGGAAGTCATGACCCAGAAATAATGGACCTCACTGCTGAGAAGGAATTCAATCATGGGGAAGATAACATCAGGATGGAAGAATTGAAGGCAGCTATTGAGAAGATTAAGCTGGGAAAAGCAGCAGGTCATGATGGTATAACACCAGAGATGGTCAAATATATGGGAGTCGAAGGTGAGCGCCTTCTACTGAAGGTTCTCCAGGCAGCCTGGTGTAGCAAAACTATACCAAAAGATTGGGAGATTGCCATCATTATACCTATATTTAAAAAAGGTGATAACAGACAATGTGAAAACCACATAGGCATATCCCTCCTCAGCGTTCCCGGTAAAAGTTACTCTAGAATTCTTGAGCAGAGACTTAGAAGTCTGGTAGTACCAGTTCAAATACCTTGGAGTTGTATTAGACCAAAATGGAGGCATTAAGACTGAGCTGGCTACACGAAAAGCAGCTGCTGGTAGACTCTTCCAGGCCATAAACCGAGGGTTTCTTAGCAAAAGAGAAATTGGCAAGAGGACGAAAATGGCTGTTTACCGCTCTACCTATGTACCAGTCCTGACCTATGGGTGTGAGTCATGGGCAATGACAACAGCTCACAGAAGCCAGCTGCAGGCCTCAGAAATGAGATACCTGAGAAAGGTGGTCCAAGTGACAAGAAGGGACAAAGTCCGCAATCAGACAATACGTCAAGATCTTGATACCCAGCCCTTACAAACCCGAGTGGATCAGTCACAGCTATGATGGTTTGGACATGTGTGCAGAATGGGAGAAAATCGGCCACCATGGGAGGCTAAGAACCAGGGAACCAGACCTCCGGGACGACCCAGGGTGCGCTGGAAAGACAACATCCGACAGTCCCTGACTGACAGAGGACTGGAATGGAACAAAGCCAGAAAGAAAACTGCTGATAAAGACGTCTGGCGATCTCTCTGGCAAACCTCTACACCCCAAGGTAGAAGAGGAGCGACTAAGTAAGTAAGTAAGTTAATGAACCAGAACTTTCTGCGGGAGTCAACTGCTGGTGAACACAAAGAAGAAGTACAAGTGGTCAATAATTCCTCAGAATTACAAATGGTCAATAATTCCTCAGAGGTACAAATGGTCAATAATTCCTCAGAATTTAGGCAATAGGCCAAAGCATATATGTAGAATGTAGGTTTCCCCGCAGTGTTAAGCACATCTTTCTGCTCTGTCTGCAGCTGTACCTGGGCATCGTGCTGACGGCTGTGGTCGTGGTTACCGGAATCTTCTCCTATTATCAGGAAGCCAAGAGCTCTCGAATTATGGACTCCTTCAAGAACATGGTGCCACAGGTAAGCAGCCATTGGCATTTGTCACTGTGTGGTAATGTTTGATGATTCTTTTAAATCTAGAAAGTTCAAAGTGTTAAGACTAGTGGTGGATGTATAGATACTCTAATGGTGCAGGTGTGGATACTCTAATGGTGCAGGTGTGGATACTCTAATGGTGCAGGTGTGAATACTCTAATGGTGCAGGTGTGGATACTCTAATGGTGCAGGTGTGAATACTCTAATGGTGCAGGTGTGAACACTCTAATTCTCAGTGTGTGGATACTCTAATGCTCAGTGTGTGGATACTCTAATGCTCAGTGTGTGGACACTAATGGTGCAGGTGTGGACACTCTAATAATGCAGGTCTGGGTGTTTTGGTGGTGCAAGTGTAGGCACTTTAATTGTACAGTTTGCCTACAAGTTGATCAGGTGACAGAAGCCACAGACTTGTCTCTCTATTGCAAGTGTTTATACAAATGAAACAACCCTCTCAGACTGGTACATTGTGTGGTTGATAGCAGTGGACTCAATTTTGGTGACTGGAATATACACGGGTTAACATGGACCTGTGTTGCCAAGAGATGGTAACTCACTTTTGTACAGGAGAATGATTTCAAGAAGGGATGCAATACCGAGGACTGGATGTGTCCCTATCACTGAGCCAGCAAAAACATATCCAGAACCAGCTGAAATCTTTGGGTCAGGCCTTGTAGCAGATGATTGTTGTCTGTTAGTATCCACACAGTTTTTGCGAGCTTATTTGCTAGTTGCATATCTGTGCCAGCTAGTGGTACACATAGATATTTGTCTGTCTGCCAGTATGCTATTGTAGTTCACACTGATATTTGTCTGTCTGCCAGTATGCTATTGTAGTTCACACTGATATTTGTCTGTCTGCCAGTATGCTATTGTGGTACTCACTGATATTTGTCTGTCTGCCAGTATGCTATTGTGGTACTCACTGATATTTGTCTGTCTACCAGTATGCCATTGTGGTACTCACTGATATTTGTCTGTCTGTCAGTATGCTGTTGTGGTTCACATTGATATTTGTCTGTCTGCCAGTATGCTTGTGTGGTACTCACTGATATTTGTCTGTCTGCCAGTATGCTGTTGTGGTACTCACTGATATTTGTCTGTCTGCCAGTATGCCATTGTGGTACACACTGATATTTGTCTGTCTGTCAGTATGCTTGTACTCACTGATATTTGTCTGTCTGCCAGTATGCTTGTGTGGTACTCACTGATATTTGTCTGTCTGCCAGTATGCTTTTGTGGTACTCACTGATATTTGTCTGTCTGCCAGTATGCTGTTGTGGTTCACACTGATATTTGTCTGTCTGCCAGTATGCTATTGTGGTTCTCACTGATATTTGTCTGTCTGCCAGTATGCTATTGTGGTTCACACTGATATTTGTCTGTCTGCCAGTATGCTATTGTGGTTCACACTGATATTTGTCTGTCTGCCAGTATGCTATTGTGGTTCACACTGATATTTGTCTGTCTGCCAGTATGCTATTGTGGTTCACACTGATATTTGTCTGTCTGCCAGTATGCTATTGTGGTTCACATTGATATTTGTCTGTCTGCCAGTATGCTATTGTGGTTCACACTGATATTTGTCTGTCTGCCAGTATGCTATTGTGGTTCACACTGATATTTGTCTGTCTGCCAGTATGCTATTGTGGTTCTCACTGATATTTGTCTGTCTGCCAGTATGCTATTGTGGTTCACACTGATATTTGTCTGTCTGCCAGTATGCTATTGTGGTTCACACTGATATTTGTCTGTCTGCCAGTATGCTATTGTGGTTCACACTGATATTTGTCTGTCTGCCAGTATGCTATTGTGGTTCACACTGATATTTGTCTGTCTGCCAGTATGCTATTGTGGTTCACACTGATATTTGTCTGTCTGCCAGTATGCTATTGTGGTTCTCACTGATATTTGTCTGTCTGCCAGTATGCTATTGTGGTTCACACTGATATTTGTCTGTCTGCCAGTATGCTATTGTGGTTCACACTGATATTTGTCTGTCTGCCAGTATGCTATTGTGGTTCACACTGATATTTGTCTGTCTGCCAGTATGCTATTGTGGTTCACACTGATATTTGTCTGTCTGCCAGTATGCTATTGTGGTTCACACTGATATTTGTCTGTCTGCCAGTATGCTATTGTGGTTCACACTGATATTTGTCTGTCTGCCAGTATGCTATTGTGGTTCACACTGATATTTGTCTGTCTGCCAGTATGCTATTGTGGTTCTCACTGATATTTGTCTGTCTGCCAGTATGCTATTGTGGTTCACACTGATATTTGTCTGTCTGCCAGTATGCTATTGTGGTTCACACTGATATTTGTCTGTCTGCCAGTATGCTATTGTGGTTCACACTGATATTTGTCTGTCTGCCAGTATGCTTGTACTCACTGATATTTGTCTGTCTGCCAGTATGCTTGTACTCACTGATATTTGTCTGTCTGCCAGTATGCTTTTGTGGTACTCACTGATATTTGTCTGTCTGCCAGTATGCTTGTACACACTGATATTTGTCTGTCTGCCAGTATGCTATTGTGGTTCACACTGATATTTGTCTGTCTGCCAGTATGCTATTGTGGTACTCACTGATATTTGTCTGTCTGCCAGTATGCTATTGTGGTTCGCGGTGGCCAGAAGCTGAGTGTGCATGCTGAGGAATTGGTCATGGGTGACATTGTGGAGGTCAAGTTTGGTGATCGAGTCCCCGCCGACATCCGCGTTATTTCTGCTCATGGCTTCAAGGTAAGGTTATTGATGAAATGTCCAGAAAACTGTTGCTTGTTGAATATACATTTCTTGTAGGGAAATATTTGTGTTAAATGCAATATTGTAGATTTACAGCGACCACATGCCAAGGTGAGACTAGTTGATTTCAGAGAAAACTGATCACAACACAAGAGACATGCAAGAGACTGGCTGATTTAAGAGAAGACTGATCACAACACAAGAGACTGGCTGATTTAAGAGAAGACTGATCACAACACAAGAGACTGGCTGATTTAAGAGAAGTCTGATCACAACACAAGAGACTGGCTGATTTAAGAGAAGACTGATCACAACACAAGAGACATGCAAGAGACTGGCTGATTTAAGAGAAGACTGATCACAACACAAGAGACATTCTCGAGACTAGCCGATTTAAGAGAAGACTGATCACAACCCAAGAGACATTCTCGAGACTGGCCGATTTAAGAGAAGACTGATCACAACACAAGAGACATTCTCGAGACTGGCCGATTTAAGAGAAGACTGATCACAACCCAAGAGACATTCTCGAGACTGGCCGATTTAAGAGAACACTGATCACAACACAAGAGACATTCTCGAGACTGGCCGATTTAAGAGAAGACTGATCACAACACAAGAGACATTCTCGAGACTGGCCGATTTAAGAGAAGACTGATCACAACACAAGAGACATTCTCGAGACTGGCCGATTTAAGAGAAAACTGATCACAACACAAGAGATGTGCAAGAGACTGGCTGATTTCAGAGAAAACGGATCACATCACAAGAGACTGTCTGATTTAAGAGAAGACTGATCACAACACAAGAGACTGGCTGATTTAAGAGAAGTCTGATCACAACACAAGAGACTGGCTGATTTAAGAGAAGACTGATCACAACACAAGAGACATGCAAGAGACTGGCTGATTTAAGAGAAGACTGATCACAACACAAGAGACATTCTCGAGACTGGCCGATTTAAGAGAAGACTGATCACAACCCAAGAGACATTCTCGAGACTGGCCGATTTAAGAGAAGACTGATCACAACACAAGAGACATTCTCGAGACTGGCCGATTTAAGAGAAGACTGATCACAACCCAAGAGACATTCTCGAGACTGGCCGATTTAAGAGAACACTGATCACAACACAAGAGACATTCTCGAGACTGGCTGATTTTAAGAGAAGACTGATCACAACACAAGAGACATTCTCGAGACTGGCCGATTTAAGAGAAGACTGATCACAACACAAGAGACATTCTCGAGACTGGCCGATTTAAGAGAAAACTGATCACAACACAAGAGATGTGCAAGAGACTGGCTGATTTCAGAGAAAACGGATCACATCACAGGAGACTGGCTGATTTCAGAGAAAACGGATCACAACACAAGAGACTGGCTGATTTCAGAGAAAACGGATCACAACACAAGAGACTGGCTGATTTAAGAGAAAATGGATCACAACACAAGAGACTGGCTGATTTCAGAGAAAATGGATCACAACACAAGAGACATGCAAGAGACTGGCTGATTTCAGAGAAAACTGATCACAACACAAGAGACTGGCTGATTTCAGAGAAAACGGATCACAACACAAGAGACTGGCTGATTTCAGAGAAAACGGATCACAACACAAGAGACTGGCTGATTTCAGAGAAAACGGATCACAACACAAGAGACTGGCTGATTTCAGAGAAAATGGATCACAACACAAGAGACTGGCTGATTTCAAAGAAAACGGATCACAACACAAGAGACTGGCTGATTTCAGAGAAAACGGATCACAACACAAGAGACTGGCTGATTTCAGAGAAAACGGATCACAACACAAGAGACTGGCTGATTTCAGAGAAAACGGATCACAACACAAGAGACTGGCTGATTTCAGAGAAAACGGATCACAACACAAGAGACTGGCTGATTTCAAAGAAAACGGATCACAACACAAGAGACTGGCTGATTTCAGAGAAAACGGATCACAACACAAGAGACTGGCTGATTTCAGAGAAAACGGATCACAACACAAGAGACATGCTCTTATAAGCTTTCTTATTGTACTGGAAATTAAATTGTTCTGGCTAGAGAGTTAGCAGTGGACCAAGGAAAAGATTCTCTCCTGTTTACTATACACATTCAACTCAGTCTGAATGATCACTCAGTCTTGGTGATAACTTGAGTCTAGATAATAAATCAGTCTAGGTAACCCAGTTTTGGTGATATTTCAGTCTAGGTGATAACACAGTCTAGATAACTCAGTCTTGGTGATGTCTCAGTCCCGTAAACACAGTGTAGATAACCCTTTTGTCGATAACAAGTGTAGATAACTCAGTCTTGGTAATAACTCAGTCTAGATAACTTGCTCTTGGTGATGTCTACATAACTCTAACTGATCTATGTAGCCAGTAGTCAGGTAATGGATGCATGTAGCCAATAATCATGTAACTGATCCATGTAGCCAGTAATCATGTAACTGATCCAAGTAGACAGTAATCGTGTCACTGATCCAAGTAGACAGTAATCGTGTCACTGATCAATGTAGCCAGTAATCGTGTCACTGATCCATGTAGCCAGTAATCGTGTCACTGATCCAAGTAGACAGTAATCATGTCACTGATCCAAGTAGACAGTAATCATGTCACTGATCCAAGTAGACAGTAATCATGTCACTGATCCATGTAGCCAGTAATCATGTCACTGATCCATGTAGCCAGTAATCATGTCACTGATCCATAAAGCCAGTAATCGTGTCACTGATCCGTGTAGCCAGTAATCATGTCACTGATCCATGTAGACAGTAATCGTGTCACTGATCCATGTAGACAGTAATCGTGTCACTGATCCAAGTAGACAGTAATCATGTCACTGATCCAAGTAGACAGTAATCATGTCACTGATCCATGTAGCCAGTAATCATGTCACTGATCCATGTAGCCAGTAATCATGTCACTGATCCATGTAGCCAGTAATCATGTGTTCTGGTTCAGACAGTGAACAGTAGTCAAGGGCCACAGTTCACACCCACTTTCTGCACAATCTAACAAATATTTCCACTTACAACTTCACAGGTAGATAACTCTTCCCTAACTGGAGAATCTGAGCCTCAGACCCGCACAGCCGAATTTACCCATGAGAACCCCCTAGAAACCAGGAACCTGGCTTTTTTCTCCACCAACTGTGTTGAAGGTACCGTTTTCTTGTGTCTGGTTAGAGGCCACATGAGTGAGGCAATGTGTGGCTGATAATGTGTGATAGTTGAAGTGAGGCAATGTGTGGCTGCTAATGTGTGATGGTTGAAGTGAGGAAATGAGTGGGTGATAATGTGTGATGGTTGAAGTGAGGCAATGTGTGGCTGGTAATGTGTGATAGTTGAAGTGAGGCAATGTGTGGCTGATAATGTGTGATAGTTGAAGTGAGGCAATGTGTGGCTGATAATGTGTGATAGTTGAAGTGAGGCAATGTGTGGCTGGTAATGTGTGATAGTTGAAGTGAGGCAATGAGTGGGTGATAATGTGTGATAGTTGAAGTGAGGCAATGTGTGGCTGGTAATGTGTGATAGTTGAAGTGAGGCAATGTGTGGCTGATAATGTGTGATAGTTGAAGTGAGGCAATGTGTGGCTGCTAATGTGTGATGGTTGAAGTGAGGCAATGTGTGGCTGATAATGTGTGATGGTTGAAGTGAGGCAATGTGTGGTTGATAATGTGTGATAGTTGAAGTGAGGCAATGTGTGGCTGATAATGTGTGATAGTTGAAGTGAGGCAATGTGTGGCTGCTAATGTGTGATAGTTGAAGTGAGGCAATGTGTGACTGCTAATGTGTGATAGTTGAAGTGAGGCAATGTGTGGTTGATAATGTGTGATGGTTGAAGTGAGGCAATGTGTGGCAGATAATGTGTGATAGTTGAAGTGAGGCAATGTGTCGTTGTTTGAGTGGGGCCACATGTGGCTGGTCAGTTTGATTGTTTGAGTGGGGCCACATGTGGCTGGTCAGTTTGATTGTTTGAGTGAGGCCACATGTGGCTGGTCAGTTTGATTGTTTGAGTGAGGCCACATGTGGCTGGTCAGTTTGATTGTTTGAGTGAGGCCACATGTGGCTGGTCAGTGTGATTGTTTGAGCGAGGCCACATGTGGCTGGACAGTGTGATTTTTTTTTGAGTGAGGCCACATGTGACTGGTCAATGTGATTGAGTGGGGCCACTGGCTGGTGGTGTCATGGTTTGTGATACTGTCTCTGTGTGTGTAAACCTGCCATCATTGTTAACATTTTCCATGAAGACCAAGAGTCAGTATAATTGGTATAGATGATGCCATTATTGGTTTGTTATTTTTTGAAAAATCTATGTCATAATTTTCATTTATAAATAAGATTCCCCCCCCCCCCCCCCCCCCTCCTTCCTCTCTTCCACCTCTTCATTCGTGATTTTACCAGGCTCTCCAACTTGATGTGTGTGTGTGCGTGCATGTGTGCGTGCCCACTGATAGTTTATTCATTTCTTTTGTTTTATATTCTGGCTCTTGTCTCTATTTGTATATCTTTTGTTTTATATTCTGGCTCTTGTCTCTATTTGTATATCTTTTGTTTTATATTCTGATTCTTGACTTCTGTCAGTATTATCTTTATTCTGGCTCTTGTCACTATTTGTATATCTTTGTTTTAAATTCTGGCTCTTGTCACTATTTGTATATCTTTGTTTTATATTCTGGCTCTTGTCACTATTTGTATATCTTTGTTTTATATTCTGGCCCTTGTCACTATTTGTGTATCTTTTGTTTTATATTATGGCTCTTGTCACTATTTGTATTAGCTCTTGGCACTATTTGTATATCTTTAGTTTTATATTCTGGATCTTGTCATTATTTGTGTATCATTTGTTTTATATTCTGGCTCTTGTCACTATTTGTAATCTTTTGTTTTATATTCCGGCTCTTGTCACTATTTGTATATTTTTTGTTTTATATTCTGGCTCTTGTCATTATTTGTGTATCATTTGTTTTATATTCTGGCTCTTGTCACTATTTGTAATCTTTTGTTTTATATTCTGGCTCTTGTCACTATTTGTATATTTTTTGTTTTATATTCTGGCTCTTGTCACTATTTGTATATTTTTTGTTTTATATTCTGGCTCTTGTCATTATTTGTGTATCATTTGTTTTATATTCTGGCTTTTGGCACTATTTGTATATCTTTTGTTTTATATTCTGGCTCTTGTCACTATTTGTGTATCTTTTGTTTTATATTCTGGCTCTTGTCTTCTGTAAATGAGCAGAGGAAAAGACAGTTGTATCTCTTATTTAGCCATTTGCCACATCAGATACTATTTCTTTTAGTTTATTCCTTGTTTTCCTCCATTCTCTCTTCTTCTTCCTCGTTTGTCTGAAAAACTGACATGATTATTTTGATGATCTTGTTAGCCACAGTAGAGATTTAGTCTTATTCCATCTCCATCAGCTGAAGAAATGAATACAACAACTGAAATAATTGTTTCTTGTTAGGTACTGCTCGCGGTATTGTGGTCAAGATTGGTGACAAGTCTGTGATGGGTCGTATTGCCAACTTGGCCTCAGGTCTGGAGGTTGGAGAGACGCCAATTGCCAAGGAGATTGCCCACTTCATCCATATTATCACAGGTGTTGCTGTTTTTCTTGGAGTCACCTTTTTCGTCATTGCGTTCATCTTGGGATACTTCTGGTTGGATGCTGTCATCTTCCTCATTGGTATCATTGTGGCTAATGTGCCTGAAGGTCTCCTGGCTACTGTCACAGTAAGTTGTTCATTGCACACAAGATGTAACTATACAGACTACAGACTTCCACGCAATACAAACATCCCCAGACTGCAGACTTCTCCACACTGCAGACTGCAGTCTTTTTCTCCACAATACAGAGCTCCTCAAAACATATTCGCTTGAAATTTTCAAAACTACAGATCTCATCGACTACATAGATTTTTCCAATATACAAATTTTTTCTAGTTCATTTGATGCAGTGTAAGAATGTTACAGACAAACGTTATCTAATGATGTTTTGGAAGAGCATATAACAGAAATACCTTGTCTAGTGATGTCAGGATGAGAATGTTACAGGAATACCTTGTCTAGTGATGCCAGGATGAGAATGTTACAGAAATATCTTGTCTAGTGATGTAGAATGAGAATGTTACAGAAATATCTTGTCTAGTGATGTAGAATGAGAATGTTACAGAAATATCTTGTCTAGTGATGTAGAATGAGAATGTTACAGGAATACCTTGTCTAGTGATGTAGAATGAGGATGTTACAGGAATACCTTGTCTAGTGATGTAGAATGAGAATGTTACAGGAATACCTTGTCTAGTGATGTAGAATGAGAATGTTACAGGAATACCTTGTCTAGTGATGTCAGGATGAGCATGTTACAGAAATACCTTGTCTAGTGATGTCAGGATGAGCATGATACAGGAATACCTTGTCTACTGATGTCAGGATGAGCATGATACAGGAATACCTTGTCTAGTGATGTCAGGATGAGAATGTTACAGAAATACCTTGTCTAGTGATGTCAGGATGAGCATGTTACAGAAATACCTTGTCTAGTGATGTAGAATGAGAATGTTACATGAATTTCTTGTCTAGTGATATCAAGGCATGTAAGATATCTACAGGTGGTTACTGGATTCACAAACTGTCACTCTTTTTCCTACAGGTGTGCCTGACGCTGACTGCCAAGCGTATGGCCAAGAAGAACTGCCTGGTGAAGAACCTGGAAGCTGTGGAAACTCTGGGCTCCACGTCCACCATCTGCTCCGACAAGACAGGAACCTTGACCCAGAACAGGATGACTGTAGCTCACATGTGGTTTGATGGCCGCATCGTGGAGGCAGACACCAGCGAGGATCAGTCTAGTATGTCTCTTATCTTGCATACATTTCTAAGCTACTGTCAGTAAATGCATCTGTGTTTATTTCAACAGTTTCTGACTGAACTAAATCTGATAGGTTGAGTGCCTCTGGGATGGCATAGGGGTCGGGCAAGTGCAGGAATAAATTATTTGTCATTCTTGGAAAGTGGGGGTTTGTTGGCATTCAGCCTGTGACTAACTTGCTGTAGAGAAACTTGACATTTCATGTCAGTGGTGTCTACATCTTGTCAGTAATGTCTGCATCTTGTCAGTAATGTCCACATCTTGTCAGTAATGTCAGCATCTTGTCAGTAATGTCTGCATCTTGTCAGTAATGTCTGCATCTTGTCAGTAATGTCAGCATCTTGTCAGTAATGTCTACATCTTGTCAGTAATGTCTGCATCTTGTCAGTAATGTCCACATCTTGTCAATAATGTCAGCATCTTTTCAACGGTGTCTTTATCTTGTTAATTATGTTTCCTCCCTTATATTGTCCTGTTTTTCTTGACATCTTATCTTCAGTGTACACATCTTGTCAGTAATGTTCACATCTTGTCAGTAATGTTCACATCTTGTCAGTAATGTTCACATCTTGTCATTGATGTCCACATCTTGTTAGTGATGTCGTCATCTTGTCAATGATGTCATCTTGTCGGTGATGTCGCCATCTTGTCAATGATATCAGCATCTTTTCAACAATGTCTTTATCTTGTTAATTATGTTTCCTCCGTTATGTTGTCCTGTTTTTCTTGACATCTTATCTTGAATGTTCACATCTTGCTAATGTTGTCAGCTCATCCATATGTTTTGCTGTAAATGATGATGGTTGCTGGTGTCAAATCACGGACACTGACACATGTATCACTGTGACACATGTATCACTGTGGGTGACTGTGACACATGTATCACTGTGGGTCACTGTGACACATGTATCACATGTGAACCTGCGCTACTATCATCTAGTGTTTGACCTGTCCTCAGATGCCTCCTACTCTCGCAATGACAAGACCTGGATGGCTCTGGCCCGCATCAGTATGTTGTGTAATCGTGCTGAGTTCAAGGTCGGACAGGAGAATGTGCCTGTGCTGAAACGGTGAGCAAGATTGCTGTTTGGTTGTCACATTAGAGTTTGTGATGTTAAGAGTTTGTCGCATTAAAGCTTGTAACATTACAGTTTGTCACATTAGAGGTTGTACACATAAGGTGTAACATTAGAGGTTGTACACATTGGAGGGTATCAAATTAGAGGGTTTAACATGAAATTGGTAACTGGTTACATTAGAGGTTGTAATATTAGTTTTCAGCGGGCTTGTGTAATGTGTAGACTTTTAGGCAAGTTATCTTCTTCTTCTTCGCGTTCACCAGCTGTACACTCTGGCGGAAAGTTCTGGTTGCTCGTCCAAAACTGAACTGCAGTCCTGCTCCAGAACCTGTGTGTTGCGTGTGCATCAGTTTTACAGATCTCATTCTCTTGAATACAGACTGTTGGTTCCTTGCCTCTCCGGCAGATGCACTCCGACTTCAAAGGAAACTCCCCAATTAGTCGACTCTTGCTTTTGGGGAGGCAGTGGTTCTATTCTTGTTTTCCCCACAATGGGGCCCTGGAACCCACACGGGGGAGGCAAGTTATATAATATGTAGACTTTTAGGCAAGTTATATTGTATGTAGACTTTTAGACAAGGTATATAATATGTAGACTTTTAGTCAATGTATATAATATGTAGACTTTTAGACAAAGTATATAATATAAAAGGCTTGTAGGCAAGGTTTTTAACAGCTTATGTAAAGAGGATTAAGATATCTGTTCAAATCTTAACTGATAAACACATGTCTTAAGGGCTCAGTGTTATCATCAGAACTTCTGTTTTTCCCCTCCAATAGAGAATGTAACGGAGATGCCTCTGAGTCAGCTCTGCTGAAATGTGTGGAACTTTCCATTGGAAATGTCACAGAATATCGTCGCAGGAACAAAAAGATTGTTGAAATCCCATTCAACTCAACTAACAAATATCAGGTCAGTTTAGAAAATAATGGATTACCCCTTTCATTCACCCTTGGAAAAGGGAAAGGGGCGGGGTGCATGATGATGCTGTCTGAATGTAGGTGCCTGTGATTTATGTCTCACTGTCAGATTTTACAAGTGGGTTATAGTGGGTGTCTGTGATTGAGTGGGTGTTTGTGATTCATGTCTCACTGTCAGTTTTACCAGCTGGTCATAGTGAGTGTCTGATTAAGTGGGTGTTTGTGATTCATGTCCCGATGTCAATTTTACCAGTGTGACATTACTGTCTTTTCAGGTATCTATCCATGAGACAGAAGACCCCAATGACCCCCGCTATCTGCTGGTGATGAAAGGTGCCCCCGAGAGAATCATGGACCGCTGCTCCACAATCCTGATGCATGGCAAGGACCAGCCCCTGGACGACAACTTCCGCGAAGCTTTCAATGCTGCCTACATGGAGCTGGGAGGGCTCGGAGAGAGGGTTCTGGGTAATGTCCACTTGTTGTTTGTTCACAAATTAATCTTCTTTAGCATTCCGAGCCCCTAGGGTTAATTGTTATAGATATCACCTACCTCCAATTATCTCTGGGATTGGCCCCAAGTGTGTGTACATCTGCATGTATATTATCTCTCCACTGTCTGCTTGGTCTGTTTTGTGGTCGACTGCTGTTCAGTTCTTTTGAGTACTAATTTTTGTGTTTTGTTTTGTTACTCTTATCTGGCATTTTCTCAACAATTTCATCTTTTTTAAGTGTAATCCAGATTTGATTTGATTCAAGAACCGACATCACAGCACTCGGGTGCAATTCCATAAGCGGTCCATCCCCATCTTCAGCAGCAACGAAGAGTTGCAGTTCTAATGTCCATGTTTCAGAGCCATACAGTTGTTTTATATATTTGGATTTTAGTATCTCTGGTCACACCTAGTCATGTACAACTGATGACATTGTCACATCTAGTCATGTACAGCTGATGACATTGTCACATCTAGTCATGTATAACTGATGACATTGTCACATCTAGTCATGTACAACTGATGACATTGTCACATCTAGTCATGTAGAACGGATATTGTCACATCTAGTCATGTACAACTGATGACATTGTCACATCTAGTCATGTACAACTGATGACATTGTCACATCTAGTCATGTATAACTGATGACATTGTCACATCTAGTCATGTACAACTGATGATATTGTCACATCTAGTCATGTATAACTGATGACATTGTCACATCTAGTCATGTACAACTGATGACATTGTCACATCTAGTCATGTACAACTGATGACATTGTCACATCAAGTCATGTACAACTGATGACATTGTCACATCTAGTCATGCACAACTGATGACATTGTCACATCTAGTCATGCACAACTGATGACATTGTCACATCTAGTCAAGTACAACTGATGAAGTTGTCACATGTTAATTTTTTACATTTGTCTTCCCATTCAGGTTTCTGTGATTATTTGCTGCCAACGGAAGAGTACCCCCCTGGCTTTGATTTTGACCCTGAGGGACCCAACTTCCCCATCACTGGCCTGAGATTTGTGGGACTGATGTCTATGATTGACCCACCCAGAGCTGCTGTCCCAGACGCTGTCGGCAAGTGTAGAAGTGCTGGCATTAAAGTAAGTCCATGATTTTGTCCTGTTTTTATCCCTTACATTTTTTAGCATATTTTTTCTTTTAATTTTTGTTTATCAGCCTTATTTTTATTTCCATTTTTCTGTCTTCTGTGTTTTCATTTCTGTCTGTTTTTAATTCTATCTTCCTTGTTTTGATTTGTTGTCTTTTGTTTTCAATTCTATCTTCCCATGTTTTAACTGAATATTTATGACTCTTCTATTTTTTTTTATTTCTGTCTTCGTTTTTAATTATGTCTTCCATGTTTTCATTGTGAATATTAATGACTGTCTTCAGTTTTTTTTTTAAAATTTCTATCTTTGTTTTTAATTCTTTCTTCCGTGTTTTAACTTTGAATATTTATGTCTGTCTTCAGTTTTTTTTATTTTTGTCTGTTTTTAAATTCTATCTTTCTTTATGATTGTCTTTGCTAGGTTGTAATTTTCAGCATTAATGATAGTCTTCCTTCAGATTGTCATTTATTACCATCATAAACATTATTTCTGCTGTCTGTAATCCACCAGAGCTGCCACATTGTACATGACTAGCAGCCATTATACTTTGACATATCTCTAAACTGGTTGGTTGATTTATGTCAGCCAGGTGTCACTCATTCATTAACCTTGGACCTTGTCTTGTAGGTTATCATGGTTACCGGAGACCACCCAATCACAGCCAAGGCCATTGCTAAAGGTGTCGGCATTATCTCTGAGGGCAGCAAGACAGTGGAAGATATTGCTGCAGAGCGAGGCGTTCCCGTCGAAGAAGTCGACCCAAGGTAATCTGTCAGCATGTATTGCCTGTTTGAGCTGGTGATAAAGAAATGACAGGAGTACTGACAGCAGATCATGCCCATGTGGCAAATACTGACATCAGATCATGTCCTAGTGGCAAACACTGACATCAGATCATGCCCTAGTGGCAAACACTGACATCAGATTATGCCCATGTGGCAAACAATGACATCAGATCATGTCCTAGTGGCAAACACTGACATCAGATCATGCCCTAGTGGCAAACACTGACATCAGATTATGCCCTAGTGGCAAACACTGACATCAGATTATGCCCTAGTGGCAAACACTGACATCAGATTATGCCCTAGTGGCAAACACTGACAGTAAATCATATCCCAAGTTTTTCCTGAGTTTTAATACTGACAGCAAATGTTGGGCAAGTTTTCCATGTGGGGAATATTGACAGTCATTCATGTCCCAAGCTTCCTCTGAGGGTAATTGACAGCAAATCTTGGGCAAGTTTTCCATGTGGGGAATACTGATAGTCATTCATGTCCCAAGCTTCCTCTGAGGGTAATTGACAGCAAATCTTGGGCAAGTTTTCCACGAGGAGAATCATCATCATCTCATAACATCGCGTGTCATGGGGTCACCAGTTTCTGTAACTGTGATCATCTTTCTTCATCTCTGGCTGTCGGTTGTGATGGTCCTAACGGTTGCATGCTTGAGGTTCTGTAACCAAGTCTTTCTTGGTCTGCCTCTTATCCTCTTTCCCTCTACTGAGCTCTGCAGTATTGTTACTGAGAGGCCGTTAGATCTCATTACATGTCCATACCATTGCAATGTTTGCTTGAGTCTGTAGTGAAAGGTTGATAGTTGCCAGTGTGTTGTGTAATTATATAGCTAACCTCTTCATTTGTAATGTGGTCTCTCTCTGTATATGCCAAGAATTTGTCTGGAACATCCACATTTTAATGTTGGTTTCTTCCTTTGGAGTTCAGCTGTTAACATCCACACTTCACACCCATGTGTAAATATACTAATAGCTAGTGCACTGAGCAGTCGAATCTTAGTTTTGTATAAAATATTTTTTGGATATCCATAATGTTTGCTGCCTGGCAAGAACTGATGTTCTCTGGGCAATCATAGGTATGATTTCTGGTCTTGACCCCGAGTCACTTTAAATAGATCCTCAATATTTGAAATGATTGACTTGTTTCAATTTGTGACCTTTAACATACATTGATGAAGTTAGCCAGTCATTACTTTTTTGTTTTTTCTGCGTTTATTTCCATGCCATACTTGGTTGATGTTTCATCGAGCTGATTTACAAGCTTGACTAGCTCTTGTTCTTCCCTGGCCAACCCATCGATGTCATCTGTAAACCTTAAGTTTGTTATAGTTCCACCTCCTATACTAACTGTTCCATGATGTTGTTGAGGTAAATACTGACAGCAAATCATGTCCCATGTTTTTCTATAAAGGATATACTAACAGCAAGTTATGTTCAAGGTTTTTTCCATGAGGGGAATGCGGACAGCAAATCATGCCCTAAATGTTCCCCGTCTAAAATATTAACAGAAACAATCCTACAATTTGTGTATCTATTATTCCACAGAGAAGCCAAGGCTGCTGTCATCCATGGTGGTGACCTCCGAGACATGACCCCGGCTCAGATTGACGAGATTTTGATCCACCATGCGGAGATTGTGTTTGCTCGTACTTCTCCCCAGCAAAAACTGATCATCGTGGAAGGCTGTCAGCGACAGGGTCAGATTGTTGCCGTCACGGGTGATGGTGTCAATGATTCTCCCGCTCTCAAGAAAGCTGATATTGGTAAGTCTCTTGATTGTCTGTCAGTGTTCATATCTTGTTGACAGTCTTAATATTTTTGTGGTCAGTATTTGACATGCTACCTACAAAGTTACAACCACATGAATCAGCACGCAACAATATGTAAACTTTCTGTGACTGTGTGGCTAGTGAATAATTGTTATGTTAACTTTCTCTAACCAGGTGTGGCTAGTGTGTTTATATCTAAACTTTCTGTGATCGGGTATGGCTAATGAATAATCTGTGTGTAAACTTTCTCTAACCAGGTGTGGCAAATGAATAATCTGTGTGTAAACTTTCTGTGATCAGGTGTGGCAAATGAATAATCTATGTGTAAACTTTCTGTGACCAGGTGTGGCTATGGGTATTGCTGGCAGTGACGTCAGTAAACAGGCCGCTGACATGATCTTGCTGGATGACAACTTTGCATCAATTGTAACAGGTGTTGAGGAAGGACGTTTGATTTTTGACAACTTGAAGAAATCGATTGCCTACACTTTGACATCAAACATCCCCGAGATCTCCCCGTTCTTGTTCTTCATCATCGCTGACATTCCACTGCCCCTGGGCACCATCACCATCTTGTGCATCGATTTGGGCACGGACATGGTGCCGGCCATCTCTCTGGCCTACGAACAAGCAGAGCTGGACATCATGAAGCGTATGCCCCGTAATCCATTCACAGACAAGCTGGTCAATGAGAGGTTTGTGTGCTCATTATCATGTCACTTTCTATTAGCTCATCTACCTTTTTCTCTCTCTCTCTCTTTCCTCCCTCCCGTTACCTCTCTCTCTCTATCTCTCTCCCCCTCCCTCCTCTCTCTCTCTCTCTCTCTCTCTCTCTCTCTCTCTCTCTCTCTCTCTCTCTCTCTCTCTCTGGTCATTTTGGGACTTGATGGAACCATGTGAGGGTCTCATGGAACCACATGAGGTGTCATTTTGGGGCTTGATAGGACCATATGAGGTGTCATTTTGGGGCTTGATAGGACCATGTGAGGGGTCATTTTGGGGCTTGATAGGACCATGTGAGGTGTCATAATATGGCTTGATAGGACCATGTGAGGTGTCATAAATGGCTTGATAGGACCATGTGAGGTGTCATAATATGGCTTGATAGGACCATGTGAGGTGTCATAATATGGCTTGATAGGACCATGTGAGGTGTCATAAATGGCTTGATAGGACCATGTGAGGTGTCATAATATGGCTTGATAGGACCATGTGAGGTGTCATAATATGGCTTGATAGGGCCATGTGAGGTATCATAAAATGGCTTGATAGGGCCATGTGAGGTATCATAAAATGGCTTGATAGGGCCATGTGAGGTGTCATAATATGGCTTGATAGGACCATGTGAGGTGTCATAATATGGCTTGATAGGACCATGTGAGGTGTCATAATATGGCTTGATAGGACCATGTGAGGTGTCATAATATGGCTTGATAGGACCATGTGAGGTGTCATAATATGGCTTGATAGGACCATGTGAGGTGTCATAATATGGCTTGATAGGACCATGTGAGGTGTCATAATATGGCTTGATAGGACCATGTGAGAGGTCATTTTGGGGCTTGATAGGACCATGTGAGGTGTCATAATATGGCTTGATAGGACCATGTGAGGGGTCATAATATGGCTTGATAGGACCATGTGAGCGGTCATTTTGGGGCTTGATAGGACCATGTGAGGTGTCATAATATGGCTTGATAGGACCATGTGAGGTGTCATAATATGGCTTGATAGGACCATGTGAGAGGTCATTTTGGGGCTTGATAGGACCATGTGAGGTGTCATAATATGGCTTGATAGGACCATGTGAGGGGTCATAATATGGCTTGATAGGACCATGTGAGGGGTCATTTTGGGGCTTGATAGGACCATGTGAGGGGTCATAATGGGGCTCGATAGGACCATGTGAGGGGTCACAATGGGGCTTGATAGGACCATGTGAGCGGTCATTTTGGGGCTTGATAGGACCATGTGAGGTGTCATAATATGGCTTGATAGAACCATGTGAGGTGTCATAATATGGCTTGATAGGACCATGTGAGGTGTCATAATATGGCTTGATAGGACCATGTGAGAGGTCATTTTGGGGCTTGATAGGACCATGTGAGGTGTCATAATATGGCTTGATAGGACCATGTGAGGTGTCATAATATGGCTTGATAGGACCATGTGAGAGGTCATAATGGGGCTTGATAGGACCATGTGAGAGGTCATAATGGGGCTTGATGGGGCCATGTGAGGGGTCATAATGGGACTTGATGGGGCCATGTGAGAGGTCATAATGGGGCTTGATGGAGCCATGTGAGGGGTCATAATGGGGCTTGATCGGGCCATGTGAGAGGTCATAATGGGGCTTGATGGGGCCATGTGAGAGGTCATAATGGGGCTTGATGGGGCCATGTGAGAGGTCATAATGGGGCTTGATGGGGCCATGTGAGAGGTCATAATGGGGCTTGATGGGGCCATGTGAGAGGTCATAATGGGGCTTGATGGGGCCATGTGAGAGGTCATAATGGGGCTTCCAGTCTTGATGGGACAATGTGACGGTCTTCCTGGGGCTTGATGGGGCCATGTGACTGTCTTCCTTTGGCTTGATGGGGCCATGTGACTGTCTTCCTTTGGCTTGATGGGCCCTGTGACTGTCTTCCTGGGGCTTGATGGGGCCATGTGACTGTCTTCCTGGGGCTTGATGGGGCCATGTGACTGTCTTCCTTTGGCTTGATGGGGCCATGAGACTGTCTACCTGGGGCTTGATGGGACCATGTGACTGTCTTCCTGGGGCTTGATCGGACCATGTGACTGTCTTCCTGGGGCTAGATGGGTCCATGTGATGTTCCTGATGGGACTTGAATGATCATAACATGCTAACCCGTCAAGTTTGTGGGAGAGGATGGCAGGATGGCCACCATTTTAAAAACTTGAGTAGCAACAAAAAATGTAGCCAGTGTAGGTACTAGTGTAAATGTAGCTAGTGTAAGTACAAGTGTAAATGTAGCTAGTGTAAGTACAAGTGTAAATGTAGCTAGTGTAAGTACAAGTGTAAATGCAACAAATGTAAATGTAGCTAGTGTGAACTGTTGCTGTAAAGTACACATTGGTGTGTTTGTGTCCAGGTTGATCAGCATGGCCTATGGTCAGATTGGCATGATCCAGGCCACAGCCGGCTTCTTCACTTACTTTGTTGTCATGGGCGAGAACGGCTTCTGGATGACCAGGCTGCTGGGTCTGCGTAAGGAGTGGGACTCTGTTGGCATCAATGACCTGGAGGACTCTTACGGCCAGGAGTGGGTAGGTCCCCACATCATCTGATTGTTCACCTGATCAAATGTTAATTCATCATGTATCTTAGTTCATTATAGTTCTTTAGTTCATCGTGATTTGTTCAGTTCATTATTGAATACTGGCTTATACTGTGGTATTTTCACTTTTTGATCTAATTGCTGTCTTTATATCCTTGATTGAATTTTAGAATTACTCAGTGAGTTAGAGAGTGAGTGAATGAATGAGTCATTCAGTGAATAAGTCAATGAGCTAATGAATGAGTGAGTAAATGAGTCACTAAATAAGTGAAAAAATCCGTGAATAAGTGAATTAGTGTAAATAAATGAATGAGTTAGTGAATTTGAGTTAGTGCGTTAGTGAATGAGCCAGTGAAGGAGTGAGTGAGTGAGTAAGGGAGTCAGTGAGTAATGGAAGTCTGTGAGTTAGTGAAAGAGTCAGTGAGTGAGTGGAGTCAGTGAGGGAAGGAGTCAGTGAGTGAAGGAGTCAGTGAGTGAGTGAAGGAGTCAGTGAGTGAGTGGAGCAGTCAGTGAGTGAGTGGAGCAGTCAGTGAATGAGTGGAGCAGTCAGTGAGTGAGTTTAGCAGTCAGTGAGTGAGTGGAGGAATCAGTGAGTGAGTAAGGGAGTCAGTGAATGAGTGAAGAAGTCAGTGAGTGAGTGAAGCAGTCAGTGAGTGAGTGAAGCAGTCAGTGAGTGAGTGAAGCAGTCAGTGAGTGAGTGAAGCAGTCAGTGAGTGAGTGAAGGAGTCTGCGACAGACAGTGAGTAAAAAAGTCAGTCAGTGAGTGAAGGAGTCAGTCAGTGAGTGAAGGAGTCAGTGAGTGAGTGAAGGAGTCAGTGAGTGAGTGAAGGAGTCAGTGAGTGAGTGAAGGAGTCAGTGAGTGAGTGGAGCAGTCAGTGAGTGGAGCAGTCAGTAAATGAGTGGAGCAGTCAGTGAGTGGAGCAGTCAGTGAGTGAGTGGAGCAGTCAGTGAGTGAGTGGAGCAGTCAGTGAGTGAGTGGAGCAGTCAGTGAGTGAGTGGAGGAGTCAGTGAGTGAGTAAGGGAGTCAGTGAGTGAGTGAGTCAGTGAGTGAGTGAAGAAGTCAGTGAGTAAGTGAAGCAGTCAGTGAGTGAGTGAAGCAGTCAGTGAGTGAGTGAAGGAGTCAGTGAGTGAGTGAAGCAGTCAGTGAGTGAGTGAAGAAGTCAGTGAGTGAGTGAAGGAGTCTGCGAGTGAGTGAAGGAGTCTGCGAGTGAGTGAAAGAGTCAGTGAGTGAAAGAGTGAGTGAGTGAAGGAGTCAGTGAGTGAGTGAAGGAGTCATTGAAGAAGTCAGTGAGTGAGTGAAGAAGTCAGTGAGTGAGTGAAGAAGTCGGTCAGTGAGTGAAAGAGTCGGTCAGTGAGTGAAAGAGTCGGTCAGTGAGTGAAAGAGTCGGTCAGTGAGTGAGTGGAGCAGCCAGTAAGTGAGTGAAGGAGTCAGTAAGTGAGTGAAAGAGTAGGTGAGTGAGTAAGGGGGTCGTTGAGTGAGTGAAGAAGTCAGTGAGTGAGTAAGGGAGTCGTTGAGTGAGTAAGGGAGTCGTTGAGTGAGTGAAGAAGTCAGTGAGCGAGTGAAAAAGTCTGTGAGTGAGTGAAGGAGTCTGTGAGTGAGTGAAGGAGTCAGTGAGTTAAGGGAGTCAGTGAGTGAAGGAGTCGGTGAGTGAAGGAGTCGATAAGTGAGTCAGTGAATGGGTGAAGGAGTCAGTGAGTGAGTAAGGGAGTCAGTGAGTGAGTGAAGGAGTCAGTCAGTGAGTGAAGCAGTCAGTGAGTAGTGAATGTCAGTGATTGAGCGAAGGAGTCACTGAATAAGTAAGTAGATGTGTCAGTAGCTAAGTTGGTGAATGAGTCAGTGGGTAAGTGAAAGTAGGAATCTGAACGGGTAAGTGAGCGGATAAATCAATCCAAGCAGAAGTACTCTGGCTAGGCAGGTTAATGATGGCCAGATGTCTAGACTTTGATCTCTCTATGTGACACTCCATAACTTCCCATCTTTGATTGATGACTGGTTTTGATGTTGCGAGATGACTAGACTTAGGTCTCTCTATGTGACACTCCATAACTTGCCATCTTTGATTGATGATTGGTTTTGATGTTGCGAGAAGACTAGACTTTGATCTCTCTATGTGACACTCCATAACTTGCCATCTTTGACTGATGACTGGTTTTGATGTTGCGAGATGACTAGACTTTGATCTCTCTATGTGAGACTCCATAACTTGCCATCTTTGATTGATGATTGGTTTTGATGTTGCGAGATGACTAGACTTTGATCTCTCTGTGTGACACTCCACAACTTGCCATCTTTGATTGATGATTGGTTTTGATGTTGCGAGATGACTAGACTTTGATCTCTCTGTGTGACACTCCATAACTTGCCATCTTTGATTGATGATTGGTTTTGATGTTGCGAGATGACTAGACTTTGATCTCTCTGTGTGACACTCCATAACTTGCCATCTTTGATTGATGATTGGTTTTGATGTTGCGAGATGACTAGACTTTGATCTCTCTGTGTGACACTCCATAACTTGCCATCTTTGATTGATGATTGGTTTTGGTGTTGCCAGACTTACTCCCAGCGCAAGAAGCTTGAGTACACCTGCCACACGGCCTTCTTCGTCTCCATTGTCGTTGTCCAGTGGGCTGACTTGATCATCTGCAAGACCAGGCGCCTGTCACTGTTCCAGCAAGGAATGAAGTAAGTCCTTTGTTTGTCTATCACTCTCCCATTTTATCATCTTTCTGCTGCTGGTACCATTAGATTTTCTGAGCAGGCTGCTGAAGATGGAGATAAAGTGCTTATGTGAAATGTCACAAGTTCTACTGCAGTGCCAGTTCTCGACTCAGCTCTTCCAGCAGGGAATTTAGTGCATTAGTCGTTCTGATTATGCAGGACTGTGTTTGACTCTGTCAGCACCAAACGGCATGCTGTATGAATGGCTGTACTCGTGTGCACCAAACAAGGCATGCTGTATGAGGGGCTGTACTCGTGTGCACCAAACAAGGCATGCTGTATGAGGGGCTGTACTCGTGTGCACCAAACAAGGCATGCTGTATGAGGGGCTGTACTCGTGTGCACCAAACGGCATGCTGTATGAGGGGCTGTACTCGTGTGCACCAAACGGCATGCTGTATGAGGGGCTGTACTCCTGTGCACCAAACAAGGCATGTTGTATGAGGGGCTGTACTCGTGTGCACCAAACAAGGCATGTTGTATGAGGGGCTGTACTCGTGTGCACCAAACAAGGCATGCTGTATGAGGGGCTGTACTTGTGTGCACCAAACAAGGCATGCTGTATGAAGGGCTGTACTCGTGTGCACCAAACAAGGCATGCTTTATGAGGAGCTGTACTCGTGTGCACCAAACAAGGCATGTTGTATGAGGGGCTGTACTCGTGTGCACCAAACGGCATGCTGTATAAATGGCTGTACTCCTGTGCACCAGGTAATGTAGAGTATTGCGCTGGTATATTTTATATTTAAAAGGGACATAGTGACGGGCTGTGCTCGTGTGCACCAGGGAATAAAGACTATTGTGCTGGTATGTTTTATATTTAGACAGGACACAGTCAAACACCTGTCAACATACCAGTCTCCTACAAGGGTTGTGTATTTAACTCCGTAGAATGTAGTATACTTATGAGTTAGTTGCCATCCTTATTGCCTCATTTGTTCATCAGCGACCACCTTCTGGAGCTGAAAGAATTAATATGTTGATTTTTGAATGTTTAGAGTTCCAGTCTCTGTGTGGTCTTCTAAAGATATTCTCATGTTAATGTTTCCTTTCACAGAAATCACCACCTGACGTTTGGCATCTTCTTTGAGACTGCCCTGGCTGCGTTCCTCTGCTACTGCCCAGGACTGGACAAGGGACTGCGCATGCAGCCTCTCAGGTAAGGGATGTCTTGTGTCATCATCATGTGACATCACATGTCATGTCTCATGTTACATCACATGCCATGTCTCATGTTACATCACATGTCATGTCTCATGTTACATCACATGCCATGTCTCATGTTACATCACATGTTATGTCTCATGTCACATCACATGCCATGTCTCATGTTACATCACATGTTATGTTTCATGTTGCATCACATGCCATGTCTCATGTTACATCACATGTTATGTTTCATGTCACATCACATGTAATGTCTCATGTCGCATCACATGCCATGTCTCATGTTTCATCACATGCCATGTCTCATGTTACATCACATGTCATGTCTCATGTCGCATCATATGTCCTGTCTCATGTCACATCATATGTCCTGTTCTTATGTCACATCACATGCCATGTCTCATGTTACATCACATGTTATGTTTCATGTCACATCACATGTAATGTCTCATGTCGCATCACATGTAATGTCTCATGTCGCATCACATGCCATGTCTCATGTTTCATCACATGCCATGTCTCATGTTTCATCACATGCCATGTCTCATGTCGCATCATATGCCATGTCTCATGTTATGTCTCATGTTACATCACATGCCATGTCTCATGTCGCATCATATGTCCTGTTCTTATGTTACATCACATGCCATGTCTCATGTTACATCACATGTTATATCTCATGTGACATCACATGTTATATCTCATGTGACATCACATGCCATGTCTCATGTTACATCACATGTTATGTCTCATGTTACATCACATGTTATATCTCATGTTACATCACATGCCATGTCTCATATTACATCACATGTTATTTCTCATGTTACATCGCATGCCATGTCTCAGGTCACATCATGTGTCATGTTCTCATGTTACATCACATCTCATGTCACATCACATGCTATGTCTCATGTCTGTTATATCACATTTCATATCACATCACATGTTGTGTCTTATGTCACATCACATGTCATGCTCTTATGTTACATCACATACCATGTCACATCACATGTTATGTCTCATGTTGCATCATATGTCATGTCTCATATCACGCCTCATGTCACATTACATGCCATGTCTCATGTCACATTACATGCTTTGTCACATTATGTGTCATGTTCTCATATCACATCACATGCTATGTCTCATGTCACATCACATGTCATGTCTTGTCACATCACATGTCATGTCTTGTCACGTCACCTGCTGCCCTGTGTGACCTGTGATGTTTGTTCCCCTTTAGGTTCACCTGGTGGCTGGTTGCCCTGCCGTACAGTCTGACCATCTTTATTTACGACGAGGTTCGCAAACTGATCATCCGCCGCAGCCCCGGAGGTTTTGTAGAGAGAGAGACTTACTACTAAATCTGAATATGCTGTCTGTTTGCATGTAGTCCAGTTCCATCTAGTAATATCTAGACTTGTCTGTCATCTCCACACACATCAACATTCGATTGCACTGCTATCTGTGACAGTATGTCTAGGTTTTTCTCATTATTTCTAGGTTTATGTGTGAGATTTGAGCTATTTTTAAGTTAATATACTATCATTTGAGATGTCATTTGTCTAGGTTCGTGTATTATCATTCGAGATGCCGTTAATATACCATATCAATATTTGAAATGTTTTTGTTTTTCTAATTTGTATGTTTCACCTAAAAATTTTCACTGAAATAAGTGATTTGTGTGTGTGAGGTTGTGATATGTCATAAGTGATTGTGTGTGTGTGTGAGGTTGTGATATGTCATAAGTGAGTGTGTGTGTGTGTGAGGTTGTGATATGTCATTAGAATCACAGATGTCAGTGTTCAGAAAAGATTGATCACTTGTCACCAACAAAAGAAAGTTTGTGTCATCACCGTGATTTCCCTGCTTGTGTTTCCAGTTTTGTTTTGAAGAATTTTATACGAGAATATACACCACGTCTGCAATATCTTAACCAGGTTTTTGTTTGTTTCGGACTGGGAAAGTAGTTGAATATTGACATTGTGAGAGAATCGTTGCTTGATGTTGTCCACTCATATTCTACGGCCAGTGCTGGCCAGTTCGCTAGGTTTCTGACAGATGGACAACCAAATGTTTACAAGTAGGTCGGGCTTGTATGTGGCTGTCAGCTGTGTAGCATTCATAATCATAGGTGTCTTTTGTGGTCTATACATATGATATTGTATATGTTCTTTTTGTCTTCACAGATGCTGTTGTACATTTTTGTTTCTCATATGAATGTGTTTGTGTCTTGTTAAATCGCACTAATCTAGTATTTTTGTTCTTGTGTTTGATGCCTTCAAAATCTGCTCCTTATGTAGACACGCGTGGCTGGTGTTACTTTCCTATTGCCAGATCTGCTGTTAGTACAGCTGTGTGTTGTCTTTGCTTGTGTGCCATTCATTTAGTCAACACAGCAGCAGCTGTTGGTGTAACACAGCTCCAAATGAGATACTGTCACAGCTGTTAGTGTAACACAGCTCCAAATGAGATACTGTCACAGCTGTTGGTGTAACACAGCTCCAAATGAGATACTGTCACAGCTGTTAGTGTAACACAGCTCCAAATGAGATACTGTCACAGCTGTTGGTGTAACACAGCTCCAAATGAGATACTGTCACAGCTGTTGGTGTAACACAGCTCCAAATGAGATACTGTCACAGCTATTGGTGTAACACAACTGCAAATGAGATACTGTCACAGCTGCAGTTGTTGTTAAAGCTGGTGTAGCTGACAGAGAGCCACTGGAAACTGAACTGACAGGTGTGGCGGTGTTCATGTGCAGACATAGTCAGCAGATAAACAGCAGTGGTTCACAGATAAGATTAGACCAAACCAACAACATAATTCATTTGTCTGCATGTTGTTTCAGCATACAGTCAATCATACATAATTTAGATTTGACTGAGGTTGCCATGTCATCTTCTTGTCAGATGTCATATTTAAGTCAACTTCCTGCTACAGTATTTTGACCTTCAGTTCTCTATTGTACTGTCAAATTTCACTGTTCATTTTTGAAGGTTGGGAAGGAAGTCATATTAGAAATTTATTGCACCAGAGCCACAAAGTTAGATATTCCTGAAAAATGAATGATATTGTTGTTGTTTGAAGTGATATTATTGTTGCATGTCAGGAGAAGAGTTGCGTTGCATTTATTTGCTGTATATTTGTGCTGCCAGTCCCTTCACTGACTCTACATGTGTTGGGTGTCTGGCAAACATAATAATCCAGAAGTATTCATGTTGATATTAGGAAACTATTACCCTTCCACCTGGGTTGTGTGCTGCCAGCAGCTAGACATATTTGCTGGGGGAAGAGACCTGTCAAGCTTGCTGGGACATGTCGACCAGATTGCCTCATCTGGTGACACCCAGAATCTGTAAACCCATGGCACCGACACAGCCGTGTTCCCGGCATTTAAGTTTTTTTGATGACAGAAAATCTGTGGCCGCTACACCTGTATAACAGCTCTGGTACTGGCATTTTGTGTCGATATGGTGGCTGTGGTTTTTATTTTATTATTTCAAGTGAGAAATTTCATCTGTGGAAATCTTAAATGATGGTCACTTTCTCAAGGCTTAGTCAACAAAACCGTGTCTGTCATCAGGGAAGGAAAGCACTCATTTATGCTAAAATGTGTATGTAGTCACATAGCAACAGTTAGGATGCTTGTAAAATTCACTGACAAATATTAATGAATGATTTCATGATTTGACTGCCACGATGGGGCAGGGGCCACCAGACTTGCCTGTCTGCTCGGTGGTCGTGGGTTTCAGTCCCCGCCATGGGGCAGGGGCCACCAGACTTGCCTGTCTGCTCGGTGGTCGTGGGTTTCAGTCCCCGCCATGGGGCAGGGGCCATCAGACTTGCCTGTCTGCTCGGTGGTCGTGGGTTTCAGTCCCCGCCATGGGGCAGGGGCCATCAGACTTGCCTGTCTGCTCGGTGGTCGTGGGTTTCAGTCCCCGCCATGGGGCAGGGGCCATCAGACTTGCCTGTCTGCTCGGTGGTCGTGGGTTTCAGTCCCCGCCATGGGGCAGGGGCCACCAGACTTGCCTGTCTGCTCGGTGGTCGTGGGTTTCAGTCCCTGCCATGTTGTATACAAATTGACCAAGGCTCATTCCTTCTGCTTTTTTTAATGGGTTTGCTTTTAGGGCGAACTTTTGAGAATTAAAAGGGGGTATGTTTCTTTTAACCCAGTTTTGAAAAAGGACATTTAAAAAAAATATTTACAGGGCAAAAGAATTAAATGTTATATCTTGCTTTATGTGATCTCTGGCCTTGCCCTAAACTCATTGGATCAAACATGTTAGCACTGGGACCAACGTTTGTTATAGGCTAGTTTTATCCTGTTCTGGACTAGAACAAATTGGTTGTGTGTTTTTGTGGAGAGCTGAAGTGACATCTAGCAGAATGTCACATAAGGCATATGTGGAGATGGCATTGCTGCACCATCTGCTGTGTGTGTGAGACTGAAGTTAAGATCTCCAGTAACAGCACAACACAAGCTGGCCTCACTGTGGTTGTCTGGTAACACAAGCTGGCCTCACTGGGGGGTTGTCTGGTAACACAAGCTGGCCTCACTGTGGTTGTCTGGTAACACAAGCTGGCCTCACTGTTGTTGTCTGGTAACACAAGCTGGCCTCACTGTGGTTGTCTGGTAACAGATGCTAGCGTCACCTTGGTGGACATGTGGAGAGATTTCTGGTCCTGTAGCAAACATATCCACGAACTGAATCTGAACATTCCATGCTGATACCTCGTATCTGTTTCAACATTTGTACAGTTGCTCCCATAGACACACAGATCTGAGTACATCCATGTTTTCTGACCGTGTCCAGTCTGTATATTTTGTTAGCATGGATGTTAACTAGTTCCGTTGTTCACCTTATTTAGTTTTTGATGTTTTGTAGTAGCAGAGACCATTTACTCTTTATTGTGGTCACAGATGTAGAATTGTTTCTTACAAATACATTTATTGTTCTCTGATCATTGACTTGAGTTTGATTTGTGCAGCTGTGTGACCAGTGTGAGTGCATGTGCGGCTTGTACAGGCATGTGAGTGAAACCCCCACATCTTGTGAAACCACACATCACATCATCTCACACAACTTTGTCAAACCCTACATCAGAAGATCCCAGCGTTATGAAACTCAACAGTTCAAGTACAGGCTCCATTTTGACAAAGATCATGTCTCCTCTGTCCTGACAACACAGATCATGTCCTCTCTGTCCTGACAACCAAGATCATGTCCTCTCTGTCCTGACAACCAAGATCATGTCCTCTCTGTCCTGACAACACAGATCATGTCCTCTCTGTCCTGACAACCAAGATCATGTCCTCTCTGTCCTGACAACACAGATCATGTCCTCTCTGTCCTGACAACCAAGATCATGTCCTCTCTGTCCTGACAACCAAGATCATGTCTCCTCTGTCCTGACAACAAAGATCATGTCTCCTCTGTCCTGACAACACAGATCATGTCTCCTATGTCCTGACAACACAGATCATGTCCTCTCTGTCCTGACAACTAAGATCATGTCTCCTCTGTCCTGACAACAAAGATCATGTCTCCTCTGTCCTGACAACAAAGATCATGTCTCCTCTGTCCTGACAACTAAGATCATGTCTCCTCTGTCCTGACAACTAAGATCATGACCTCTCTGTCCTGACAACAAAGATCATGTCTCCTCTGTCCTGACAACACAGATCATGTCTCCTCTGTCCTGACAACTAAGATTATGTCTCCTCTGTCCTGACAACAAAGATTATGTCTCCTCTGTCCTGACAACAAAGATCATGTCTCCTCTGTCCTGACAACAAAGATCATGTCTCCTCTGTCCTGACAACAAAGATCATGTCTCCTCTGTCCTGACAACTAAGATTATGTCTCCTCTGTCCTGACAACAAAGATTATGTCTCCTCTGTCCTGACAACAAAGATCATGTCTCCTCTGTCCTGACAACTAAGATCATGTCTCCTCTGTCCTGACAACTAAGATTATGTCCTCTGTCCTGACAACAAAGATCATGTCTCCTCTGTCCTGACAACAAAGATCATGTCTCCTCTGTCCTGACAACTAAGATCATGTCTCCTCTGTCCTGACAACAAAGATCATGTCTCCTCTGTCCTGACAACAAAGATCATGACCTCTGTCATAAGCTTCCAGATCATGCCTTGGAAACGTCGCCCGGACTGGCTGACTTGGGAATGGCTTGCTGGCATGGACTGACTGACTGACTTGTGACTGGCTAGCTGACATGGGGCTGACTGACATGGGAGTGGTTGACTGGCTGACTGAATTGGGACTGACTTGGTACTGGCTGACTGAATTAAAGATGGCTAGCTGACATGGGACTGACTGACTGACATCGGAATGACTGA